AGCAACTTGTCTGTGGATGTGTTCACACACGGCAGCTAACGGTTAGCATGATCTGGATCCTGTGAATCGTTAACTGCTGTGCGTTCATACAAGACCGTCCCCAATCGAGATAACAAGGTGATAATGATTGAATCACTGGCCAAAAGAAAACTGGAAATTGGAAACTTGTACGTGTGATTGGTTGATAGAAACACGCTCAATTTGCTAACCAATAGCGCTTGCTAAACGATCTCTGGCGTTTACACACGGGTGGTAACGGTTAGCTCCTGATTCGGATACTAGGGCTCTCTTGTAAAGCTGACCTGAGTCAATTCCTTATACTGCTTTTGTACAGGTATTATGATCACTAATAAAGTATAAAATGGGGATTCGGTTGTCAGGAAATGTGTGGTGTTGTTTACTGATAGTGACTTTTTTAGTGAATTTTCTAGGACAGGTTTTATTTTTATTTTTATCTTAGCTCATAACTCATCGCATCATTCCTCCATACCGGATTTAACTGCTAGCCCCCGAGAGAGTATGGAGTTAGACACAAAAGTATAAGTGCCTACTTTATTATGATTGAATCTTTGTAGTTGTTCAGAGGAAGAGGCGTGCCTGATATTTCATTGTTGTTTGTTCATAAATGCTGGAATGCGTATTACCAGCGTCTTTGAGAATAACATCCTGAATTATGTCAATTCCTTTGTTTCATTTACTTCCTCGCATTAGATGTCAACATGCCAAAACCAGCATTAGTCAACATAGCAAAAAAAAAAATTAACTTACCATATTTATATTCTCCTCATTTAGATTTACTATTGCTAAAGTTATAAAGTAATTTATGATCTTATACTGTGCAGGGTTTAAAGCCCTATTTCAGTTAAGAAAAATCTGATTTTTATATATGTTATAAAGATTTATAAATATAATACGAAATTTGCTAGTTTAACTGAATTTAGACATTCCTAAACATGAAAAAAAAATTGTAAAATCAGGCTGAAATTTGATTTTTTGTGTTCCACACAATATATATATATATATGTTTGATTTTGCAATAGGTCTGTGAAGAAATATATTAGGCGCCAGAAAAATTAGCCTATCAACACTGCTACAGTAGGCTAGGCCTAGCCTTACGTCGATTTAGGTTCTGTTATCAGACATAAAAATGACCGATATGATATGTTCCGTTGCTGGTATTGACACTTGTGAAATATATTTTATTGGAATAAATTTCAAATTTGTTAAAGAAATGATTCTGACCGAGATTTTAACTATTATACAAACGTATCTCAGGCCTACTCGATTGACTGCAGTGTGCGAGATGCGAAGTACAAAAAATAATCTCATTAGAGAGGGCACATTTTATTGAATATAAAGTATACACAAAAGCGAGAGCATTCCAGCAGATGCGATCTACAACCTCTGAATTTGCCTAGTAATGAAGAATTCGTTGAGAAAATGGTAATCTTCTATGAGAAATAGTCTGTATTTCTCATTTTTAAACTAAAATTATGCCAATACTTTTCCATGGTTTATGATAATTTGAGTATAATGCATGCATTTTTTCTAAAAAAAATTCTTTTTTTAGTGTAATTTTGCTTGGGAATGGTGCTTTAAGCTGTAAAAAAAAAACTGTTTAGCAATTTAGCTGGAAACGAAAATGATTAGCCAAGTTGAGTTTTGATTAGCCAAACCAACAACAGAATATAATCCTGTGAGCTTCGTCACGAATAGAATGATGCAGGGTCACACCAAGGAGTATAGAATTGTAAGAAGTCAGACTGCCCTGATTTTGTGTGCATGTAAATGAAACGTTAAAAAAGTACTACCCTGAGATAGAGGGCACCCTATTTACGAAGCCTTTTACGTTCATGTGAAGGACACCCTCTAGTTTGTGATAGTACTTTTTTTGAGATAGGAATTCGTGTTCCAATGAAACCCTGAGAGTCAGACCTCTTGCATTTCTATAGGCCTACTCTTTGGTCACACAGTGAGTAAACATGGCCTAGCGACATCACTTCAGCAGGCTTTCGCCAGCTACCGATCCTAGCCAGTCTAGGCCCACTTTTAGCCCAACTACTTTAGTTTGATAGTACTACGGGTAATACGGGTTACGGGTAATATTTTCACTTACTGATTCTTTACTCATTATTCATACATAACATGTATTAATGATAGTTTAAACGAAAAAACAGTGCACACAAATATGACCTTATTCATTAGCTTTTTGACGAATTGCGAGTGAAAATAATTCACCAAATTCGGTTTTGATTTGCCAATTTGGTGAGCGACAGCTTAAACCCTGTGTATGCTAATTACTCAATTCATCAGCGATTGTACGCTGGTTTTGTAATTGCAAACATAATTTATTTTAATGTATTTGAACTTCCACCTTCAAATTACATCCTTGAAAATCTATTAAGGTTCAAATCTGTAAACAAAGCCTTGATACTGAATAATATGTAGGCGATTCCATTATTTTCTTTTATGCTTGAGGTTAAGTTCAAGAAAGAAAAAAATTCAAATGTCTGTGACCTTGAGCATGTCTTTTGACCTTTTCCCCACAAGTTATATCATCTCTTTCTTAAAATGTACTAGAGTATTCTATGATGATCCATTTCTTTGTTTTGCATAATTTTTTTAAAACAGGAAGACAGACAGACAGGAGGTGATGAATAATACATGCAGTACACTGTAACCTCTTTGATTCCTGATGATGACATAATTAATGTCGAAATATTAAATCCTGACACGATGGCGTGTATTTCGATAATTGGAGTATGTATTATACTATCTTATCTGAGATTAATCAGTGGACCTTTCAGTTTAACCCCATTGGCGGTGGTTAAAAATATTATACAGTACTGTTAATATACATAAATGTACTGTAGATGCAAAAATAATCACATCATATTTATCTCTTCTTCAGCTTTTACACCGCTGACTACAGGTCAGTGTATATTATCAGACCTACCAAGTTTCACACATTCGAGGCCTTCCTCGAACCCTGTCGCTGGAGGACAAAACCTTACACGTACAATTTTCTGGAGTGCATGTCTGTTTTCAAAACATGAAGTCTCGTGTCTTTTTGAGTATACAGTGCTTCTGATGTTATACTGTACTCCATGGTGTGTTAGGCATGTAAAATGGAATGTGTTGCCGTTCATTTCAGTTCATCAGTGGCGTATCTAGCAGTATTAAAATGGGGGTGCTTGTTGTGGGGCACGACTAAAATATAAGGGGGCGTGGAATTTATTTTCGGTGGCCACGCCCACTGAAAAATGTTGCTTCTTAGATTCCTGAATACATGTTAACCGTGACAGCAATAAGCATAAGCCTAGCCTATTTTTTTTTGCTTCGAAGTTTTCGAATGGGGGTGGGGGGCGCGCCTGGGATGCGCAAATTACTAAAGGCTGAAGCCCTGTCCAGAATGAAATTTTATTTGACAAAAACATGTGACATGTCTAAATATGGTCATGATGACATTACACCATGACCATATATAGGTACATCATGACTATATAATATGGGCATAACAGTTTTTTGTTGGGGGCTACATTATACTATAATTTATTTACAATACTGTAATGATTTTAGGAAGTGGAATGCTTACATTTATTGATCCAGGTTATAATTCAATGTTCTTTTGTGATGAATGCCTTATCGTGGGAAAATTTTATAACAATGTTAAGCTACGTTCACATCAAGCTGGGATCCTGTCTGGAGCCCGGACAAAAAATTGTGATTTGCTACATTTTTTTAACGCTAGGGAACACGGTTGTTTATGTAAAGTACATATGCGTTCGATTGGTTCGGACCAAGCAAGCTTGTTGCTGATTGGTCCAAGAAAAATAAACGTACGATTTCAGGATACAAAATGGTGAACGGTCCTATTCTTTACTACTGAACCCATTTTTCACGAAAAAACGGAATCCGGGCTTGATGTGAACGTAGCTTTATACCAAAATCTGGACAGAGCTTTATACTGTACAGTACTTGTGATTACTAATGCTATGCTATAAGTTCTGCCATTTCGGCATCATGTCTCAAGGGCTGTACCTGCCCTAAAGTTGTGGAATTCCTATACATGCAGATCTTGGTGAGGCGCCCATACTCCTTGTATTTAAAAAGTAATCTCTTCAATCATGCCTCACTTAGTTAATTCTTATTTATTATTTAATTTCAGTAGTTATAAGTATTTTTACCCTGAAATGTCGCACCTTTTACTTGAGGTAGCCCCGCCAACTGGAATGCACGTGAGTGGGGGAAGGGGCATAGGCTTATCCTTGGTGGAAGCTACTAGTGGCCAGCAAACTGACACTAAAGTACCTGTGTGTGCATGGTAGTGACGGCGATGCTATCTCAAAATCCTGGGTGTGTACACACCCCCAACCCCCTCTTCTTCACATTTGCGCCTGTTCATTAAATAATTTTGTTTTTGTTTCTTATGGTTTAAAGGTGCCTTGAGACATTCAGTCAGTCTAAAGCTGAAGCTTAAAAATCGGTTATGATGGAATTCATCTATAACTCATCCAACCTAGTCAGCAGAATAATGAAATATATTTTAAAAAATTATAAAATATTTAAAAATAATAATAATAATAATATTATCATTAATAAATAACAACAATAATGGTAAGAACACAAACTAAAGAAAGTGTATATGGTATGCTTAGACTACATCAATCATATATCACACTTTATACATGTAATGTGGAGTATTATTTAGTATGTTTCTTTTTTTTTTATTATTTTAATTCTGTGGCCACAATGTAAATAACTTTGTGGCTATTTTTACACCAGTCCTAAACCAAATCTACCTGTAGGCTATTATATTTATGTTTTATGTGTCACATAAAAGAAATGCATTGAAGATGATATAGGTCATTCTCAAGTATACATTAATTCATTAGTTTGGAAATACAAACTAGTCATAAGGATGTTGCAGCGTTTTTTTACAGGAAAAATTTCTTGTTTATTTTGATTTTCTGATATTTATTTTATTTCCTTCTTTCTAGGCAACAGCAAATCGAAGCCGCATCGATTGTTGGATCAAAGAGGGTGAGTACTTACATGGAATTATAATTTCCTGTGTATGATTTATTATTTAATGGGTGCTGTTGTTGAAGTGATTACCGTAATATAAGACACATAATGTCAGATCATTATAAGTGGCAAGGACAAGCCAAACCAGTCACTCGTCGGAAAAAATCAATTTTTAGTTATTAATACAGGGTTTAACAGTACAATGAGAGCTTAAAATGGTAAAAAAATAATTTAAATCCTACAATTCGTTATGAAGTTACACAAGTTTAAACATACAGCTGTTTAAAGAACAATATTTGAGAATTCAGCCTTCAAAGTTTACGATTTTAGGCATTTCTTAGGCAGAAACCATCACCAAATCATTAAAAATTGTTGTTTTAATATTGAAAATGAGGAAAATAACAGCATAGCATGATGTATAGATATATAAAGGTTAGTTTAGTGCAATAAAATAGATTTCCAAAATTTTGACATTCCAGCATGTTTTGGCCATTATCTCCAAAACAGGATTTGCGATGAGTGACTGGTTTGGCTTGTCTGCCACATATGCTGATGGCTCAACCAACTTTTTTACTCGGGCTTCTTGGTTCATTTTCATTGTTATGGGTGCACTGCCTATGGGGCTGAGTGCCACTGTTATAAAAGTGTATAATCCGAATAAATTACTTGACCGTTTTCACACATGTGATGACTTGTGAACACATTTGCTGCAAGAGACGCAAGTTCATGTCTGACAAGGTTCACTCAGGTTGCCAAAGACGCGAGTTCACATCCACATCATTTGTCTGTCCAACCTACCACTATTATATTGCACGTAAACTTGCTGGCAGTGATTGCCAGAACGCAAATCCTCGCGCTGGATGTTCAGGGAAGGACCCGGAAGTAATGATCTAAAAATAACTACTGTAAAGTTTGTTCCTATTTCACTATAGTTGATGGAAATGATTTTGATTATGGTGGCGCCCTTTTATGCATTAGCTTATTGAATGGAAGTAGAACAAGTTCTTGTAATCTCGAAAGCTCCGATGAGGGTAGTATAATAGAGGCAGTAGAGCTAAATAAGATCAGGGAGTTGTTTTGATCTTTCAATCAACTATTAATCAATAAGCTGAGTGTTTCTAGAGCTCCTCATGAGGGCAGTATAATAGAGGGAGTAGAGCTAAAAAAAGATCTATTATTATCGACTATTAAGAAAGTCTCATGAGGGCAGTATAAAAGAGGCAGTAGATCTAAAAATGATCTAATAATCAATTAGCTGAGTATTTCTAGAGCTATTTACAGAGCTTAAAAAAGGCTTTGCAGTCAATGTGAATAATGATAATGGTTGACTTATAAAGCAAATATTTTGGTGAGCTGTATTTCATGAAATAAAAGACAGATTAACCGTAATATAAACCTGAAGAAGACATGATTATCCTACTCCTTAAGCATGGTTCACAGTTTACTCCGAGGAGCTCATCTGTCCTTTTGTTCAGCTATTTTTTTTTCTTGCTGCTGGGTGACCATCCATCCTCCTATCCAATCTCTAATAAGGCCAGTAGATAGGGTTGCCAGTCACGCTGCTCTAGCAGATGCATTTTAACATCATACCCAGGACATCTTAACTACTACTAAAACCAATATTAACTACCTAAAATTAACTTGAGGTAAAACTATCCCCCACCGGACACCATCTCCAAAGTAAAGTTTTCAAGGTTAAAGGCCTGTTTATACTTGCAACGATAACAATTAAAAATCAAATGTTCATATAAAAAATAAAAGAACTAAGGAAAGTTTTTACACTAGAATGATTCGATAAAGATTTTTGTATATGCGATAAGAAAATATTGTGACAAATTTATTCAAATGACATCATAATCATGGAAAAACTAGAAAATCGTAGTAGTAACAACGATTTTGACGTTTTCCATGATTATGACATTATTTGAATTGATTTGTCAAAGTATTTTGTTATTGTATACACGATAATTGACATATCGACAAGGAAGCGAAGCCCCACCCACAAAGTCACGAAAACCTTAGACAATGGCGAGTTGGCGAACATTTTCTTTGCAATCAACCTTCTTTAAGAAAGAAAATTCAGGGTAGGCAATATGCAAATGAATCATATATTCATAGTGTTAATCTATTTCATAGAACAGGCAGGGAAATTGTTGTAAAAGCCTCTGTATTTCGCTCCCAAAGGAAGGGAAAAGCCGCATTCAACCTTGTTGTCGGTAAAGGCCAAGTCACTGATGCGCACCGCTCATGTAAATCTGGGTATCATAACCAAGCATAGACATCTAAGCCTAGGCTCACATATGTTTCGCATTGACAACCAGCTGTCTAAGGAAATTAAAATGTTCGAGAAAAAGTTTTTGATCACATGACTAAATGACGCTCACTGATTAGTTGGTTTATCTGTCAATCAAATCTCATTGAGATGTTAATTCGTTATCGAATTGTCCCAGTGTAAAAATTTTTTTTATCTCTTTTATTTTTTATATGAACAATTCCTTTTTAGCTTTTTATCGTTATCGCTATTGTTGCAAGTATAAACAGGCCTTTAAACCTGGATCAAACACTGTTTGCACCAATTAGGTTTGTAAAGGTTTGAGAGTAGATCATGGCATATTGAGATAAATATTTTTATTTTTTGCTTAAAATTTCAAAACATTAATTTTTAAAGGTTAGAAGCCTACCAAATTCTTCCTTGGTGATACTAATCATTATAATTGAGAGAAAGCTCAGTTCTGTATTTTAAATTTAATTAAACTTTTTGGAACTGATTACATTTACTTAACTCTGTCCTTCCTTTTTTTTTATAGTAAATTATTATTATTCTTATTGTTATTATTAATATTATTATTTGTTGTTTCAATTCTAAAATTGCAAGGGTTCCAAGTTTTTGCTAGGCTGTAGGAGTCCCCTCGAGGTCAGCATGGTCTGCTGTACTACCATAAAGAACCAAAAACTCATACTAACCCATCTCGTGAAATATTGGAATGTTTGATTTTTTTTACAATAGTATTATTTATTGTACCCTGAAGGTTTTGACATGCCAATAACTTGAGTATGTTTCTTTTATTCCAGGGTTCTGTGATGCAGGGCAAATACAGCCCACACATCTAGATGTGTATAAGAGACAGCTCCTATCCAATCTCTACTAAGGCCAGTAGATAGGGTTGCCAGTCACGCTGCTCTAGCAGATGCATTTTAACATCATACCCAGGACATCTTAACTACTACTAAAACCAATATTAACTACCTAAAACTAACTTGAGGTAAAACTATCCCCCACCGGACACCATCTCCAAAGTAAAGTTTTCAAGGTTAAAGGCCTGTTTATACTTGCAACGATAACAATTAAAAATCAAATGTCCATGGTTGGGTCTGAGGTAAGAAAATTTATGATTTTGGCACCTCTAGATGGCCAGAAACAGCATTCCCAGATCTAAATTCCCAGCCATTGGAAGGAGACACCCTCTAACTCTTCTCAATGTTCCACATGTCATTTTAACTTTTGACATCTACACAGGAGCAGAGTGCTCTTTTTCTTTGTGAACCCTCACCTTCTGCAAATATCTGGATACGCCCAGATAAATGGCACCAGCAGGCCAAATGAAATTCCAGACAAGGATGGTATCTCTCCACCTCCCAATCCCTGTCCATGCCAATTGAGGTTGATTAATTTGCCAATACACCAAAAAAGATTGGTTTGGTGCTTAACCTTGATCGATTGTTGTTTTATTGATTTAATAATAGCGAAAGCGGTTTGGCGCAACAGGAACGTTTTGGTTTCCCAACCTTGAGGTTGTGGTTTCAATCCCTTGCTGTGCATTTTGCTTGAGTCCATGAGCAAGGCACTTTATCTGCGTTGCCTCACTCCACCCAGGAGTATAGGTACCTGGTGGGGTTGCCTGCTACTTTTATGGCAGCAACACTTAAGCATGTGGACCCAATAACCAGGGAAAAAAAATTCCTTTGTAACCTAATGGAAAAAGTGCTGTATCAATACCAATACTTTACTTTAACTCCTGGAGTCGTTAGGGTGCCTTTGGGATGAATTGCAACCCAATTTCTTCCAACAGATGCGGCCGTGTGCCAGTACTTGTGTCTGGCATGTCAATACCAAATAACAAATAATAAGTTTCTAATTTCAGAGAAGATAGATAATTTACGTGGATATCTGATTACCATAGAAGAAAAACTTCAATCAAACAGTAAAGTTTGTTTTGAGATGAAGTTCAACAACACACTCCAAAAGTTGGATCCACTAACAGTTAGTAAAATTGTGTATTTGGAATGTAAAGCCTGTTTTTCACTAGGCAAATTTATTTGCGCGAATTAAAAGCATTGTTTCATCTGATTGACATTTTTTCGCTTGGCAAAAAGTAGAAAGAGGTCAAATTACTGATTTTGCTGAAGCAAAAAACTCTGATAGAAATGTGAATGCGCATGAACCAATGTTTTCGATTTCATAAAATAAATTCGTTCAGTGGAAAACACGCTTTAATATATAATTATGAATGTCAACTTATTCTAGCAGGTACGAAGATTAGCAAATCTGAAACTTATATTCAATAAACACTTTAAATACCGTATATATTAAACTAAATGCGCCGATTTTAATAAAGGCCTCCATCAAATAAACGCCCCCGCCAGATCCTCATTTTTTAATAAACACTTTTCGAGTAGAGTAAGCCAATTCTTAGTTAGAACTATACATGCTCATATGAAGGTCAGTTGACAACCTACACACAACATAGGTTTATGTTGATTGACCGCGATGACATGTATGTACAGCTCCAACCTCAAATTGGCTTAATGCATTTTTTCTAACCGGTTTTGTATCAAACACTGTAGGCTACGGTCACACTAGAGTCTCAAGCCTGGCTTGACTCACCGCGGGGGAGATTTTCGTAATGTGACCGCACCTGGATCGACTCGCGCCTGGTGTGACCTTGATCTCAATCTACCTATCTCGATCCCGGCTCAGTACCCAGATTGGCTCTGGATTGACCATGGCGTGACCGGGATTGACATTTCCTCGTTGGCTGTCGACCAATCATAGTCGATGACGCTGTTGCGTTTGGAAGTTCTTGAATAAAAAACCCGCGGCAATCATCAGTTGTCATTTAAAAATCACTTATCAATCCGAAAACTAGCATTGCCATTACATCCGAGCCTAGACCTAGATCATCTAGATTTGCACGCAGGGCCTGTATTTTGATTGTAGCGGTGCTCTAACTTCCTCTTTCAACTTTCCTAATTTGGAGGTCAATCCAACTAAATTCAGGTAAAGTGTGACCGACCCAGAATTTCGAGCCTGGCTTGAAATCTCACCCGCGGTGAGTCAAGCCAGGCTTGAGACCCTAGTGTGACCGTAGCCGTAGTCTATATGATCATGCAATATCACATGTTGATGGTAATTATGTGTTGTAGCTCCACATTTACAGTGAAATTGAGGGGCGTTTGTTTGAGACATACGTATCAATTTTACACCAAGAAAAATAAACGCCTCTATCTAATATACCCCCCTCAAAACCCTTCTCAACAATAAATGGCCCAGGGCATTTATTCAAATAAATACGGTAGTTATACAGTATAAAGTGTTATTAAGATGCACTTATTTTTGTGGCTGATTATAAACTTTATACTTAATAAATCTTCAATAATCTTCTGGCTTCAGTTAATACATAAAATATTGTAGAGGAATGGTGGTATTTATTAATTATTATATAGTTATGAAAATATTTTTTCTTTTTAACTTACATTATAATAAGCAATTCAATGATTGATTGATTGATGGGGTTTATCCAGTATCGCACTTACAAAATCACACTAAATGAAATTAGAAATGTGACCGACTCTGGCAAAACCAGGTTCTTGTCGTTAAAAATGAAAATTTGAACCTGTGTATTGACCATCTTAATGCATGCTGAACTGAAAATATAAATTATTGTATCATCACCACTTATTAGCTTTTAAACTCAAGACTACAAAGATCTAATATTGTCATTTTTCATTTGTTGAGATATAAGAGCCTGTTTTTGCTAGAGTGGGTCACAAAGTGATGACCTGATTAGGATTAAGATTATTGAATACGTACAAGTATTAAAAAATATAAGCACAATGAAAGTTTAGGCACAGTGGCGCTCTTGCATAACATTGGTTGCCATGTTGATGTTTAGAAGCTTGAACAGAGCAAAACTCCATTGGATGGATGGATTTATTCTGTGTATACTTGCTTCCAGCGGGGTTCTTTTGATTGTGGTTGGGCAGTACACCAGGATATAGTTCCCTACTCTTCTCTGATAGTGCAGTGTGTTCTTTAACAGGCTATAATACAGACAGGCCCAATTTCTGAAGGGTCTCATCCGAAGAAGACAGTGCGCTATCATAACTTGAATTTCAGTCCTTCTGTTGAAGTACAAGGAGAGACAGGCCCAATGGCTGAAACGTCTCATTTGAAGAAGACAGTGCGCTATCATAACTTGCATTTCAGTCCTTCTGTTGAAGTACAAGGAGAGACAGGCCCAATGGCTGAAACGTCTCATTTGAAGAAGACAGTGCGCTATCATAACTTGCATTTCAGTCCTTCTGGTGAAGTACAAGGAGAGATCTGTACACACATCAGCCTACCACAAATTTATCAGACATTTTTTAACTTTATTTTTAAATAATTTAAGTGGTATTTGTTCTGAATATGCATTTCAGGATGGACAGTTAATGTTGCATTCAGACTGTGCTTCTGGATTTACGGAGGGAATACGAAAAGGACATGAATATATGGTTTCAGTACAGAGTTTACCACTTCCAAATCGTAATGGTATTCTTACATATATTTCTGATGAAAGCATTTTCATAGGTATGTTAAATTATTTACCCTATATACATTTGATTAGTGTTTTTCCTAGGATGAAGCTGGGATATAGCCAGCATTTTAAAAGGGAGGGAGCCGTTATCCAAGCGACGGAGCCCCCAGGGAGGTAGCGCACTCTGAATTTTTAATGACTGTTTTGAGAGATGGGGCTGAGGTAAGGAAATTTATGATTAGAGCACCTCTAGATGGCTGGAAATTACACTCTCAGGCATAAAATTAAATATAAATTTTTTTCCTTAAAAAATTTTGATGGGGAGGGGGGCCATGAATTCACCACTGCTCAAAACCTTCTTAATCCATAATGATCATAATTACGAAAAATGGGCTTGAAAAACCAGATCACATCCTGAAACAAATTTATACACCCTCCCCTCAGCATTCACTACAACATACCCTGAGTGCCGACTTGATGGAGTGCAGGGAAGGTTGCAGATCTGTTTTGAAAGGTTGGGTGGGGGGGGGAGACATTTTGTGGGTCCGTACCCACCTCAGACCCACCATGGTTTGGGCTGAGGTGCGAAAAATTTGAGGAAATAGTACCTCTACAGGTAGTGTGGCCAGAAATGACACTTTTTTGTAGTAAATTCATCATCACATCTCCATTATATAATAGTCAAAATAAAGCGCCATCAAATTTCTCATGATCTTTATCATAGATTTTTGGCAACCATAAAGATCTTAATAATATGTGTGATGTACCATAGAAAATAAAGGTAAAGTATTGTGTTTGTATGTACTAAATACACATTTCAAACCGTGATTTCACGACCTCCGACTCACCAGGGTTGGGGCGAAGCTGAGAAAATTTGAGGAAGTAGTACCTGTAGATGTCCAGAAATGACATTTTATATACCGGTAGTAAAATTCATCATCATCATCCTATCACCAATAGGCTAGTCAAAATGAAGTGCCAACAAATTTCTCATGATCTTTTATCAGGGATTTTCGGCAACCATGGAGATCTTAATATCCTGGACAACTTAGGCCTAACTATACTAAGCTTTAACTATTATAATAATTATGATCAACAAATCACAACCTTCTTTTGTGCTTTAGCACAATTTTTAATATTATTATCTATTATCGTAATCACCATCGTCATCATCATCATCATCATCATTATTATTACTACTACTAATAGTAGTATTATTAAACAAAACTTCATATACGGTTTCAAAAGGATAAAAACCAAACTGAACCATACAATCTCTGTATCTTAAAAGATATGGCCTGGGATTTATGGATTTAAGACAAATTTACGCTGATACTTTTTGTTAAGTAAGCTTGATAAATCCACCCCCTGAATTGTAGCTGTTATAAACCCGAAAATTTAAATTTTTGCATTATTGTGTATAGTGAAAAATTGATTAAGCTAAAATGAATTTTCCACTTTGTTACTATCAGGTATGGTGGGTGACTTTTATTGAGACGTTTATGATTTGGTGGTGGTCTCTGCCTTAAAAATGTCTGAATATTAAACATTGAAGCCTGATTTCTGAAATAATGCTTTTTAAAAAGCTGTATATTTAAACTCCTGTAACTTCATAACAAAATATTGGATAAAGTTATTCTCTTACCATTTTATAACTTTTTATAACTCATTTTATTGTTTATTTATAAATCTTATAACTTGGTTATCTTAAACTCTGTAGATATTATCATAATTAAACTTTTCAGGTATTGGCTTACAAAATAATGTTCTTCATTGAAATGGTAATTCGGTATTCAATAGACATGTTCTAATAGGTTGGTCATGTGACGTATAGTGAGTATTAATTGCAAACAGGCAGCACAAGCGACGCTCGGTAATAGGGACATGTGTGGCTACTTGCCAGTGTTTCTGCTGTAAAGCACACATTTTGGGACCCCTCTGGAAATAAATCCTGTGTTGGGATTTAGAGGGTTATCCCAGAGTCAAGTCAACATTGATGACTTGCTTGTTTTCTCATTTTTGTTTCTCTGTATTCTGTTTTTCTGGTTTTCTGATGTTGTTCTGTTGATATCTAATAAATCAAATCAAATCAAATCAAATTTTATGTTAAATAATGTTGGTTGGAATGCCAGTAAACTATACCAAATTGATTGGAAATTGAAATTGAGAATTTTTCCATATGGTTTGCTAATGCTCTGAAAGATTATAGCCCCAAACATTGAGATTTTTCGAGAAATGCTAGGCCTAGCCCCCTGCATATCTACGGCCTGTTTAGGAATGCATGAGAGCCTTCGATCCACGAACTGCGATTTAGACATGCTACAATTTCTAGGCCAGCTAAGGTTTACGAAGTTACATAAATTGTAAAGCATTCAAAGCACAAAGAACATTAGAATAAGTAAATAAACTCTCTTTTGAACAAGTGTAGTGCCTTTTCATAGTCATACCCATGATATGTCACATGACCAGCTGTAAAAAAACCTCACATAATGTGTCTTATTACAATGAAGGTAGTGAAATAAATTTTAGTAACCATATTCAACATATACATACCTTATCAACCTAAGTGCTAATTAATTATGCATTCATCCTCACGGATGAATGGTTTTAGAAGCATGACACGGTAAAGGTCAGTTCGAGCCCAGCGTCCCGATGAGAAAGTCCGTGGTTTTAGTCCCAGAAAGGGTTGTTGTTTATATGAGTTTGTTTTATGCCTTTTGTATGAGTAAAGGATCATCAAGTTGAGATATTGTCGCGCTATTATTTTTTTTACTCTTTCATATGGAGTATTAAAACCCTTTCACTAAACTTGTATTTTGACTCTCTTTATTGGGCTCACAAACACATTGACTGATATTAAATATGCTGGTGGATTTGCAAAAAGGCTGCCTTGTGTTTAATTCTTATTAATTGCAATGTCTTTCAAATATTTCTTCAGTTAATTCACGACACATTCATTTTATTTTTCAGGGTTTTGTGATAGCTTTTCAGTGACAAATGGTGATGTTGTTCCTCAAGTGGAGGGTGTTTATGTTAATAATGAAGTTGTGGAAGTTAAATGTAAACCCAAACATAAGTTGATTGGAGCAAGCGCTTTGGAGTGCCTTTCACCAACTGGAAAGGGAAATTGGAATGACAGTATACCAGAATGCATCAGTAAATATTTGCTCTAAGACAAATTTTTTAAAGATTATAAGAAAATGGAAAATAAAGGAAGATTCTAATTAAATTTAGGTTTGAGAGTACCATTTCCAGTCATCCAGGGGTGCCATAATCATAAGTGTTCTTAACTCAGCTCCAACCATGGTGTGGCTGAGGTGGTCTAAACCCTCCGTATGTGAAAATCCCTCCCTGGGCCCCTCTTTTTTGAATTCCTCGAAACTGCCATTAAAAACACTGTTACTGAGCAAATGCCTACTAAACGTTTGTTGCAGCTAAGCAATCAGAGCTAAATTTATTAATGCTTTTTAAACTGATGTAGCAGAACCTAGGAATTTCTAAATAAAAAACTAATAAAAACACAAAATCTGGTCATCTGACAAGAACATGTGTTTTAAGGCCATGCTTCCTTAGCAACAAAACCCTGGATTACCATAGTGACTAGGTATTGAAAGGCATGCAAATTTTCCAACCCAAAATATATGAAAAGTTGATGAGGTTTTTAATACAGACACAAACTTTCTTTCAGAATATCATGTTGAAGTGGAAGTTTTCTTAAACCGATCTGTCCTTGTAAATTTTGAATTTCTTCCGAATTGTCAAAATGGTCACATGGTCAGATTAAGAGATTTAACACATAACAAACAACCAGAAGATAAAAGGAAATTAGTTAAAACTGGGGTAAGTAAACTCACTGTGTCGTACGACGGTCGACCAACGAATCCACATTTGCTTCCGGCGAGCGATAGACGAGGCAACGCCGTCTGCTGATTGTCAGTGGCAATCTGAACGGATCCTCATTAAAAGATGATCCGTTGGGGTCGTTCTTCGTCGAGTCGCCGTCGCACACAGTGAGTAACCGGCTTTACACCCCAGAAAGGTTGTTATATTAGTGAGTAGGAATGCAGAAAATTTGAAAAATAATTCAATGAGGGTGGAGAGATCGGCAACAAAAGGAATGTAAAAAATTTCAGAAATTTGAAGGCTATCGAGCCTAGCTGAAATTTTAATCGTGGCATCATTAGATGCAATGTTGAAAAGAAAACTGCTTTAAAACCAATATGTTTCTCTAGCTGCTCACTACACATGTCAAGGAACTTGAACTATGTTCACTTAATTCATTGATACATCAGCGTATATAAGAATGTTGTGACGGAGCTGAGAGGAGCGAAGATTATTTGATGTGGGATCCAGTTGGCTAAATAAGGGAATATGAGGTGTATTTTATCTATTTGAGCTAATTTTTTTGATAAGCAATGTTCCAGAAATGGGGGTGCTTAGGACGTAAGCTTTTTAGGAGTGCTGTGCGCACTCCACACCCCGTAAACACACCATTACATTGCAATTCTTCTGATATGTTGTATATTTTAAGTTAATAACACTGAGTACTATGCAGCCTACAGCCATTGTATGTCATTGTTGTTCAATTTAATGTTTATGCTTTTTAATGTATGTTTTTAATATAAATATATATATTAATTTTACAGTACACGTTTATGTATGAAAACCTAACAATTGGAAGCTGGCAAGCCTGTGTAAGTACAGTACGTTAGGTATCTTCTAGACACAATCAGCAAGTAGACACACCGAGCGGCACTTAATATAGAAACATGAATGGCTTCTCTGTATAGTGTTTCTGTTGTAAGGCACGCCATTTATGTTAATAATGTTGGTTGGATCAACATTCATTAACTGTAAATCAATGGCAGACTTCTAATTTGTAATATACTGTGTTGTATAATTCTTATATTGATCACAATATTTATCAATTATTATTATCACAATTTAACTAAGTCGCTTGGGAATTGAACTTTGGAACATTCTAGGTCTTTTTTTAAATCCTGATCGTGGGTGGGCTTAGCCCACTTTGCAGTTGGTGGATGTTAAATACAATGGCTACGGGCAAACTGCAGGCAAAAAGTGTTCTGGACTAAGCACAAGGGATTTTTGTATGAAAAAATTCTTGGTTTATAATTTTCACCCATAACTTACAAAATTTTCAGATAGGCCTAATAAGGTAAATTTGTATTAGAATCATCAACTTGGTCTCCATGTGATATTAAGCCTACCAGACAAATTAATTAGATTGCTAAGAGTATTTAACTATGTGCCGACTCAAAAACGGCCATTCTCTTTACGGTTATTATTTTATGTGGGCTCAGGGTCGCACTGCAAACGTTCACACTTCCTCCTTTGCATCTGGTTTTTTCATGAAATGTTATGGCATAAGATGTCAAAATTGACTGATATCATAGCTACCTTGGCGACCCAAGTTTGTCTTGATTTCAGATATGAAGATGAGTCGGCCCAGGTCATTTTAGGCCTACTAACTCCACTAAGTAAAGTGCAGCTTGGTTTATTTTCCAGGTTTCTTCGTATTTTTGTGGTAGTGAGGTGGACTATTGTCATTACTTTAACATTACAGGTAAATATAGAAGTGAAATCATAGTCATCATGTTGGCCTGAGCCTTGAGTTTTTTTATTGGATTGGATTTTGATTTATTTGGTGTAAACACCAAGAATAGCCCAGGAAAATGTAGAAGACTTATTTCTAGTGGTTACCTTCTGGTGGTGATTGGGCAGTACACTGAGAGACAATCCCCTACTCTTTTCTGAAGAGTGTACTGCGTTCTTTACAGTGGCGGCGCCCTGTCGGGGAAGACGATAAATTTTGTCGGGGAACAAACAAATAAAAAAAAAATGTAATATTCGTTTAGCCACCATATTGTTTGTGTTAACTTTTCATCACAACAACAAAAATAACAATAATATTAATAATAATAATAATAATAATAATAATAATAATAAGAGTAATTCAATGAGACTAATTAAAAATAATTTGCATTCTGTTATGACAAATGCTCATTTAGATAGCCTCATGTTGGTTGAAATACATCGTGATAGGTGAAGCAACCTCGACCATGACAGCGTGGTTGACAGATTTCATGCAAAATTTCCAAAATATAGAATTTCACTTTTCAAGAATGAGGATTTGAAAATAAATTAGATGGTTACATTGCATACTCTTTGTTTCTTGCTTTATTCAAAATGTTTTGGTTTTGGAGGCTGATTTCAACATTGGAAAGCATAGCCTACATGAAGTCATATTATAGTAACTCGATGCCTATCAAATTAGTAGTAAAAGCCCATCTGTCGGGCAGGTCCTGGCGCCACCACTGGTTATTTAATGTGCACATGGGCCATAAATGCAAACAGGACCAACAGCTTAAATGTCTCATCCGAAAGACGCTGCACTATTGTAACTTGTATTTCAGCCCTAGCTGAAACACAAGGACAGGCAGCGATGGGAATTGAACCGGGGACCTAGAGATCTCCACGGTTCAGGGCACACACAGTGG